CTTTTCACTGTAAATTTTCCTTAGTATTGAATAGAAATTCGTAAAGGAGTCTATAGTTTTGGATTGATCAAAGACAGAGACACTAGCATTTGCCACAATACTCTTAAACCCAGCTTTCTCTGGGGTTCCGGAGGAATCTTCGTGCATGTAATGATTCACCTCCAATCTTTGCTCAGAAGAATTCTCTAATCAATGATGAAAAACAATTTCTGGAATAGGACAGAAAAGGTCTGTCTTTGAGAATAGCATTTGGCCTTATGTGTTGAATGCTGTTGGTCACGATCCATAAAGACCAGATAAAGAGAACTTCTGGAGGGATGAAAAGCCCAAGTGCTGGGATTTGAAATAAACAATTTTCATTCTATGCTTTCCACTGCATTAAAAAAAAAATCATCTTGGGAATAACCAGCCCAAAACATCCTTTAACTTTTTACCACTGATCTAAATGCAATGATAAAAATAACTTGATGGAGCTAAAATGGGAGTGAGACTGATCTTACAAAGTAACTTAAACTCATATTCATTACAAAAGTCACTAATTTCAGGGATCTCATTTATAGGATTTGTGTTTCTGTTCATTCACAGATTTAATTTGGAAGTTTGATTAAAGTGTAGGATGAATTTCAAAATGTGATCATGAGAAACTAAAAGAATATTTGATATAAAATATATCAAGGTATGAAATTAGGCCTTAAATATTTTTGATAAATCTGTCTTACAAATGATGGCATGGCATATATACATATATATGAAAAGAACACCCAAAATTAGTCAACAGACTAATTCTTGTGGGAATGTTATCAATCATGTTTGGCATGCAGTTGTCTCAAGTGTCCCCAATGAATGTCTTTTTTTTTTTTTTTTTGGCTGAACTGGGGATTGAACTCAGACAAGTGCTTTTTCTACTGCACCATCTCCCTGCCCCCCCATGAATGTCTTAGTGGGCATTTATAGAAAGATTTTAGAGCTGCAGTTCTAAAGAGGCTGCCTGGGAACCTTCGTGGATTTCAGGGGTCAGCAAGATCAAAACTATTTTCATAGTAAGACAGATATTATTTGCCTTTTTCAATCTCATTCACTGCTAAGTATAAAATGGAATCATCTAGAGGTTCCATAGTATTTGATATCCCACCAGATAGAATTCAGAAGCAGCTACAGAATTCTAGATGTCTTATATCAAGCCAGATATTAAAGAGATTTGCAAAAATGTAAAGATAATAGCGTTTTTTATTTTTTATTCTCAGTGAAGTATAGTTATTTTATATTTACATATGCTACCTATAACATATATTGGCTTGTCATTATTATTTAAAATAATATTATTTAAATATTATTTAAATGTTTTTCACTTTTAATTTCTAAAATGGTAAGTAGGGAGATAAGAATATAAGCAGAATCTCTTTGGGCATCTCAAATTTTAAGGTTGCAAAAATATCTTAGATCAAAACATTTTACTAATACATGGCTATCAGAGTAATTAAATAACAGTTCATAACCAATAGAATAGCTAAAACTAACCGGACTGACAATAACATATACTAGAGCAATGGGAGCTTCCACATACTGCTAGGGTAAGTAGATTTTGTACAGTCCCTTTGGAAAAACTGATAATTCATTATCCATTAAAATTAAATATATAAATACTTTCTGACAACAGTTCCATTCTTAGATGAATATTCTTTTTTTTTTTTTTTTTGTGGAACCGGGGGTCGAACTCAGGCCCTTGCGCTTGCCAGGGAAGCACTTATTCCACTGAGCCATCTCCCCAGGCCCCTTAGATGAATACTCAACAGAAATTCATATATCCTACCTAGAGAGCTATACAAAAATTGTCATTTTATTTATAATACTACCAAAGTGGAAACATCTCAATGTTTATTAATTGTAAAATAGATTAATTCTGGAATATGTGTTCAGTAAATACTATCTCATAAAGGGGATGAAATGCCACATCAATGTACCACTCCTCCATAATGATGTAGTGTAAACATATACTAATAAAAAATGAAAAAAATGGATGAATTTCATAAAGGTAACAATGAAAGAAACCACACGCAGAAGTTTCCACTGATGTAAATACAAAAACAAAACTAGGTAAAAATGCATGCTTAGTAAAACCATAAAGAAAAGCAAAACAATGTTTATCACAAACCCAGGACAGTGTTTACCTCAGCAAGCAGGAAGTGTGAAATAATAGGGAGTGAGCAGAATGGGAACTTCCAGTGCTTGCAGTGTCTCTTGACCTGGAAGGGCAGCTGCTTGGGTGCTTGCTCTGTGGTAATTCATGCTTTGTTCTCCCTTCTCTGTTACAGCTCACAATAATAAAGAGATAGAATTCAATAATTCTTTTAGTTAGGATCATGGAGCAGCTTTGAGGATGATCCATGAAAATCAGTGCATAAAATTTTGGTGCATGCTTCATGTTTCAGGAGTTACTTTCTCTCTTCCTTGTCTTCTGTTTTTAATGGTTCTGGGTCTCAACCCTGGGCTCTTGTGCATACTCAGCAAGAGCTCTACTGCTGACCTCCATCTCTAGGCCCAGCTGATTCCATCTGAGACCTTTTTTTTGTGCCTCAAATAAGAAGGGACACCATAAGCACCAAAAGGCACTCCATTTATTCTACATATCATGTGTTTGCACTGTTTTTGTGATATGTTTTGCTTTTCATTGGGATTCAGGTTATTACCAAGGACTAGGCTTTAGGGAGGTTCAAAAGGGTCCTTAGATAGCTCTCCTAACTGTGAGTTTTGATTTTATGCACAGGTATTGGAAGGGGGAGTCAGTTTTAACTTTTTATGATAATACACAATTTCTTTAATTGACAGTGAAGTACAGAAGAGAGAGCTAGGCTCTCGTCATCAAATATGCAGGAGTACATATCCACTTATCTGGTCACCAGAAAATGCCAAGCAGGAACAGATTAACTGTGTTGACCAATGTGCACCAAAATAGGACTCACATGTAAAAGTCAGAAATTAATGGCTTTGGGCTTCAATATTTAGCTATGCAAGCCAATTAAAGATTCTCTTTTTTTAGCTATGAAAACCTAGGAAAGTGCCACATCATCTCACGTTCTGGTACCCATAAATAGGGTCCTGAAAGCTATGGTAGCAGTCCCCGAAATTCTTCCTAAAACACAAACCTCCAGAACCAGTAGTAGTATTCCTAGGGTGAAAATTTGTCTTAGGAAGTTTTCCAGAATTTGTGAATGAACAAACAAAAACAAATCTAACTAAGTTATTTATTTATTAATTGTGGTGCTAGGGACCGAACTCAGGTCTTTACACAGGCTGGACAGGCAATCTACAACTGAATTACACTTCTTCCCTCCCACATAAGTTTTAACAAACAATATTAATGTCTCAGAATTCTACTAGTAGAATAGCACAGCAGCATGAAAAATATGTTTGGGAGGGGCCGGGGAGATGGCTCAGTGGAATAAGCACTTAGCACAAGGGCCTGAGTTCAATCCCCGGTTCCGAAAAAAAACCAAAAA